TTTTAACTTTTTGAGACAGGGTCTCACTCTATTTTTTCTTTCTTCTTTTTTTAAAGACGGGGTTTCACCATGTTGGTCAGGCTGGTCTTGAACTCCCGACCTCAGGTGATCCTCCCACCTTGGCCTCCAAAGTGCTTGGATTACAGGCGTGAGCCACCACGCCCGGCCGTGTCTTAAACTAATCAAGGTGGTCAAATAGGATCTGTCCTCAGAACTGGAATGCAGTTAATGCAAATGAAGTTGTAAGTGAAATGGATTGTGTAACACATTTGATCTGCTAATCTGAAGTGGGTTGTATGGAGTCTTGTTAAAGGAAGACCATGAAACAACCATTTTTATTGTATATCCAGCTGGCCCAAAGGAGATTCTCCTTAGATTTGAAAGCCACAATGGCAGTTTTCTAGACATCCTTGATTCAGAGAATAGGAATTAATCCAGCTACACTAGCTGAATGGAAATATTCCTTAAACACACCTAGCTAGGTTTGTTCCAATTCTTTGTTCACTAAGCTAACTTGTGATCCTGTTCATAAGGTGGCCTCTTTAAAGGGTTGCCACCAAGGAACTTCTGAACTCTGAACCATGTCTCTGATCTGGCCTGAGAGAAATATCCTGTTGTTAACTGGCAAATGGCCATGTTTGTATATAGATCCTTCAGTCACTCGAGCTTTTGCAAACTGCATTTTGGTCCCTATGGGTCTGGTCACCCCAGAGAGTGGGACAAAATCCTGTGATAAAATTCTGTACCTAGCCCCACAAAGCCGAGGACTAATCAAGCAGCTCTGGGTTAGCCTCATCAAGGTGTTGACAACATGGAGGGCTGATCTGAAGCAGCCAGCCAGCATCTCCTTTCTGTTATCTCTTTTAGCTGCAATCAAAATGCAGCGGCCAAAATACATCAAGAAATAAAGTGGAGACCACAGTGCTATAACTGAAATTGTTTCAACAGCCCTGGCATCAGGCCACCAGCATGCAACACACTTTCCAGCCCGAATTTAGTGTGAGCCCATTGTCTCCGCATTCATCTTTCTGAAGGAGCAGAGCACAGAAGGCAGGATGTAAACTCTCTGGATGCTTGTGGTTCTTTTCTCCTGATAATCAGGGCAACTCTCTGCAAACAGCAGCAGAGAGAATGAAGAAAAATAGCCTGGGAGGACACATACAGGGTTTACCCTTCTTCTCTGGCAAATGGCCAGAGAAGGGCCAGAAAGCAGCTTGAGCTTGGGAGGTGGAGGGTGCAGTGAGACGAGATCATGCTACTGCACTCCAGCATGGGTGACACAGCAAGACCCTGTCTCAAAAAA